CGTAACAATCAAAAGGAAATAGCTGTCTAACTTCTCGCTGTATATTGTGAGAATTATTAACAAGCATTCTTCGTAAAATTTCCAGTTATGTAATGAAATTCTAGAGGTTTTTTAGAAAAAGATTTCGAAGAAAGGCATTGCTGAATGTCAAATGAAAAGTAAAATTTTCAGCTAAATGCTTTATGACAACCTTCTTTGCACTACGAAGTATAGCTTGGGCTACAAGAAATGTGAATTTCTTGTTATTAATCAAAATAATAGTAATCACTTTTTCTCATGCATTATGATATCCGTTATCTGATTCGACTTTCTCAGCTTCTATAACATTTTGTTAAATCTGAACATTTTGGTCCAATCCGTGCTTTATTGTTTTAAAGTGAGAAAAGTGATCCATAGTCTTTCTCGCTTCTAGGAACAGAAACTTGTGAATAAGACCAAATTTTCAAAGGTTTGAGAAAAGGTTTTTGTGAGAAAACTCGAAGTAACAGTACACAATCATTATGTATGAATTGGTATTAGTAGAATATGTTGACACAGAAAAAGTCGGCATGCTCATCTCCATCCACATCGTCCCATCTTAACTGCACGTTCATATCAGTCTTGAGAGCGTGAGATTCGACATATCCTACTAATACTTCATGAACCTACTTGCTCCTATCTACTATTGAACACGGTGAAAAGTTCTTATTATTAATATTCTTACGTCTGTCTTTAATAGGCGGTAGCGGACATTATACCACTTTGTTTAATTATAGATAAATAATAAACATGTTCAAATCACTGATGATATGAAATTATTGATCTATTACCGATAATAAACTTTCCGATCAAAGTTGAGGTGAAAAATACAACTAATATCAAATGTCAAAAGACGAATTATCGAAGAAAAAACAAATTTGATTTATTCACGTACTTTGGAATAGGTTTTCATTGATTTTCTTTCTTCTTCACTTGGTGGATTATCGTTGAGGATAATAATTTTTTGAATTTGATCAAAACGAACAATTTTATGAATAATATTATTAATTAATTGATCTCGCACTAAGACAAGGACCTTGGTGTGTGTATTGCCGCATAATTCGGTCGTAACAAAATTATAGCATTCATTTGCATTGTCGAATATATATATAGGTCGTTTGATAAAACGACTATATTCAGCAAACACTTGTTCATATATTTTTTTTTTATCTTTATTATCATCAAGAATAATAATTGGATACTGATGTCCAACATCAGTTCTGCCTTTTTCGACAAAATCTTCTTTCGAATCGTGTTCAACATTTGATTCAGCCATATTTCTTCGAACAAATAACTCTAAAAACTAGCAATGCAATTTTTTCTTTGAAATTGCACTCAATGAAACTTTGTTTTGTAAAGAATAATTTTTTATTTTGGTATAAAATGAACTTACTCGTTTTCTACCATGCGAAGAAAAAAAATGTCATTTGTATTAAAACAAACATTATATAGAAAGAAAAAAAAATATTAAAATTCAAGGTTTGTTGACTATTGCCTTCGAAAACATTCATGAATTTCAATCAAATCTGTTGAAGAATATTCGATTGTTCTCGTGTTCGAACATAAATTTCTTTATTGAAAAAAATCTTTCTAACGTTGTCTTTACACAGATGAAAATAAAATCTTCGGGATAATGATAGAGTGATTCAAGCGCGCCGTAATCATGATTTTGACCGTATTTAAGATAATGATAATCCTCCTCTTTGCGCAATTTTTTACTTTTATTCCCTTTTCTGAAAGAAAGGGTTCTATGCTCGATAAATATCTTAAAAGTTTGTTTGTTCAAGGCAATCAGAATTCAGTATGCGCTAAACCCATAAAAATTCAGTACTAGTTCTTAGAAAAAGTTTTACGAACAGGTAATCAAGGATGAGGAATCCGAATTTGAGGTTAATTCTAATCAATTAATTATTAATTATTAATTATTAATTATTGATAATCTCTATAAAACTTGACCAATGGATAATTGAAGTCAGAGAATGCATATCTGAGATCGGTGTTATTATTATTAATTAGTTTAGTAATGAAACTGGTTCACATAAATGATAGTCATGTTATGTAGTTACGGGTGTCCAGCGTTCAGATATTAGGGAACCCCATTTTTCAGTCGTGAAAATCTCGACAATTTGGTTTTCCTGAGCCGTTAACGTAACCCATAATCTATCAAATATTCTTACCATTTAGCGTTGGTCCTATCAGTTTTTGCGAACGCAAAGTTTTGACAAAGAGATGGTTTCTCCATCTAAGCATTGATATATGAGATTAGAGGGCTCTGCGAGAGTTTAAGATCTTAATATGAGCAAATATTTAAGAACGAGATAAAGTTTGATCATGATCTAAAAATTTGGAGAACGACAAGCCGAAAGCGATGTTCCATTGAGCGCCAGCGAGCAACTCACAGCAGATTTGTGAATAGTAGCGTGATCAAGGATCATCCAGGGATTCATCCTCTTCTCGACAACTGAAGCATTGTTCCGTTACTCTACAGAGTCATATATCTGATGAGTCCTGTGATGCCTTGAATATCTAGTCTTTTATTTTATAGATTTGTCAGCGTTAATTTCTTCAATTATATTGTATTCTTTTGCTATATACTCTTATGAGGAAACTACTCCAACTCTTCCCAAGCTTTCGATTACATCATTTGTCTACAGATAGGCCTCAGTAAGACTAAGAAAATCTTAGAAGTGTTCGTGTTGACGACTCTTTATTCTCGAGCTATGGTTTAAATAATGTCGTAAAAAGAAGAAATATTTCTATTTTATGATTCTGATGCGTTAAAAAAAGGAATCTAGGCCACTTGCCCGCAGAACATATGCTCGCCGGACAGATCCCCACAAGACACTTGCCCGTATGATGCTTGCCCGCACCCTCACCCTCAACATTGTCCATTACGAGCACGTATCGCACGGGCAAGTGTCTTGCGGGCATCTGTCCGGCGGGCAACTGTCTAGCAGACAAGTGGCCGACACCCTAAAAAAAGAATTTGGGCCTTTAGGTTCCTCATTATGAACTTGTGGTATTTTATAATTCAGTATAGTTGTAGATTATAAAAAGTTGGATAGTTCAACGATCGTAATCAAACTATTTCTATGATATATTTTGAGTTCCAATCGATCAGAGTTATAAATGATCGATAATTTGAAACAATGAAAAAGTCTTTTTTATTACGACATAATCTTGACTATATCTTGAGAAGCCACCGGGACTTATTTTTGGGATTTTCTTTTGCTACAGGATTTATTTATTGAGGATTTCTTAGGATCTATTAACTGTACTCATATTTAGCACGCACACGGTATGAGTATGCATGTATGCACTAGGCTGTGTCAATATCTCAGCGTACCCGCACTGCAGATATGTATACATACACTCCAGGATTGTATGGGATTTATATGTGTAATTGTTGTATTACCTCCTGTATTATTTTTTTTAAATTTTTATTCCAAATAATCAACGTACAATGATTTATTTTGAAACAAGTAACGCTCGTGTGCTGACTCCCCGAGCTCTTTCTCGTAGGAGCACTGTTTCTGGACTCTCTGCAAATTATTTATTTACATAATTTCCAAAAAGGATAACAAGTACACTATCGCTATGTCCTTCTGTCAAGTTGATCTAAACGTTTGAGTTTAGCATCTTGAGCAGATTTTATAAGAAATATTAATGATTAATAATTAATTAATAATTCATTAACTAAAACCAATCTCAGATTCAGATCCCAACCCTCGATTGTCTTTGGTCAAGTTTTGTGAAAAATTAGTCCTTTTTTTTCTTGCATCTTTGTCCGTTATTTTTCTTTCGCGTTGTTCTTCGCTCAATCAGTTAAATATTGATCCACGAGCAAGCAAGCACTCAGACAATTTATTTTTCCAAAAGTCTTCTCTACCACAAAGAGAACAAATTTTCTAATAATAGTAGTAAAAAAAAGTAAGGGTTGACTGAGGGTATGGGTGGGTGTGAGTGTGGGTGGGGTGTGGGTGTGGTGGGTGTGAGGTGTGGGTGTGGGTGTGTGGGTGTGGGTGTGTGGGGTGTGGGGTGTGGGTGTGGGTATGGGTGTAACTGTCGTAAGAAGGACTAACACCCACACCCACACCCCACCAACTCGATTTCTTTAACTTTAACGAAGCTATTGCTCTTATACCTCTCTACCGCTATAGCGGTATAGCGATACAAGCTATTTGAATTTGCCACAAATTCAAATTTCCCACCAACTCAAATTTAGGGTGTGGGTGGGTGTGGGTGTGGGGTGTGGGGTGTGGGTGTGGGTGTGGGTGTGGGTGGGTGTGGGTGTGGGTGGGG